AATCCTACTGTTGAGTCTTTGATTGTTGGAGTCGCTCCTTTTTGGTGCGATAGAGATGGGAATGGTAATAGTCAGGCAGGCTAATGTAAGTATCCTTCCAGTATTGACATCAATGCAGGAGGAAGACCAAAATCACACTTTCTGGAGAGCATGTTCTTATGGGCTTTCTGGTTTGACAAGGAATCCCACACAGAATCCAGCAGGTTTTAGTTAAAGAACGACACCAACACACACATTTTAGAATGAAAAGTCTGACTTCCAGGTGGTGACCCCTTCAAATATGTCTTCAGCACTCATAGATTAACTTCATAGGGATTATAGTGGTTGTATCTTCATGCATCTTGATGAAAATATTAATATAGCCTATACATTTTGCAAAGTGGGCTCCAATAGAATTGTACAAATGAATGACTCAACAGACTGAACATCCAAATTTTCAATGGAACTACAAAATTTTGGTGTATTTACAAATAATCTAAATAAAAATGAGGCTGAAACAGATGGATGGTGAATACTGATGTTTGCACAGGACCTGGGGTTTCATGGGACAGATGGTGTTGCTTTGCAATTTTATAACTGAAGCTTAAATGTTCATTTTTGTATGATGTTACAGTCCAGAAGCCCAAGAAACGAGCTAAAACCAAATCTGAAAATGGTATTTTATCTACAGTATTTGCCTCCCACTCTTTGCCGCCTGAGGACACTTATTTCTGTTCTCTGTTATCTTTCACCATCACTGCTGTTTGGATTTATGTTTGTACATGAAGGATATCAAATCCCACACGCGGCATGAATCTAAACACCAGTTGCCTGCTGTCTGTGCAATTTGTTTAAATATCTATAATTCAAGATACTGTGGTCTTGTCTTTTTTTTTTTAACCGTTAAATACAACCCATGTTCCCCCGAGTACATGTAGACAGTTTTTCCAACACTCTCATCCATCTTCACCTTTTTCCCCCATTTCTCACTTTGCTCTCTAGTGATGCTGGTGGAGAGAAGCTGCCTAATAGCTGCGCTGTTGAAATGTGGGACAGTGTCAGTCCAGACTGAACCAAAGGGCAGCTCTCTGGAGCCACAGGGCTTGATCCAATGCATTGCTTTTCCTGTAATAGAGGGCGAGTGAACTTGTCTGAAAAGTATTGCCTGTTTTCAGCCCTTTCATTTAACCTAATGTATAATACATTTTTCAATGGGCAAACTTAGGGCAGGTTTTAGTGCATCCTGGAACGCCGGACATGTTCGAGTTAAATAAGTATTTTTATTTACTTTTTACTGTTTTTTTTTTTATTTTTATGGATTCTTTGTGGAGATGCCAAAAGTGAGTTATTTTTGGCCTTGGTTTCTCCATTATATTTCTCAATTCTTATTTACTCACTCTGATATAGAAGGGATTTTTTTGTGTGTAAATACTTTTTGAGGAGATTCCTGCATATGTGGAAAGCAGAGGAGTATTTGTGGTGGCAGTGCTTAGCAAAGGTAGTAATTTCCGAATAAGGTTCTGCATATTTAAAGTTGGTGCTTTTAAAGATTTTTATAAAAGAGAAATCTAAAGAAAATTGACCCAACTTAATCTGTAACACCTTCATAAAATCCAGATCCACAGATTGCAGCTTTTCAAATAGAGTCCATCTGTGCATCAAGTGATCACAGTTTAAATACAGCTTTTCTTTGAGGAGATCAGAGGTTAGTTAGTGGACGTAAGTAAAAAGACATGAAGTAAAGATTGGTATTTCCAGGACAAAGCCTAAGACTGCAACCTCGAAGGCTAGGACCAGGACCGGAACTTCCAGATTGCCTTTTTTTGTAATTAAAATGTAATTACTCACGTGAAAAATGTAATTACTCATCCAAAATCACTCTGTACAATCAAACTAATAATGCGCATAATAAATGAATACATAAATGCATCCACACGTTACGCAATCTTTGAACTGAAGTCACAAATTTTTATTGCCTTGTAATTGTGTTATCATAAAAAAAGATTAAAGCAATTAAAAAAGAAAAATTAAAAAGAAGGACTCTTTGTCTCCAGCATTCTTAAGGCAGAGGCAGGGCATATTCTAGACAGGTCACCAGTCCAGCGAAGGGCAACATAAAACCATGCATTGAAACAAACTGACCACTACGGGCAATTTGGAGATAATCTTTTTGAAATGTTGAAGAAATCAGGAGTACCTGTAGAGAACCTATAAATTAGAGCTTCCGTCTCAATGCAAGTATTTAAGAATCTCTAACATGTTTTCTTACAATATTGCCCTATATTTTTGCACATTACTGGGGTAATTGGGGTTCAGTGGGATGTTTGATAACCCCGACTCCAGCTCTCTCTACTAACCAGATGTTCAGGTGCCTTCTCTGTGTATCGTGTGCAAATGTGAGTCTGATTGGCACTGCATCAATTCATTTAATTTACAATTCATTATCACTGCTGGGGTAAAACCATCCCCACAGCATTATTCTTCCACCACCTTATTTAAAAAGTATAAATCAGTTCTCTTTAATTTACAGTTATGCAGTGCTTTAATCTTTGTCTTTCTTCTTATGAAAATATAAAAATTTTATTCAAATTTAACTGCTGTAAATGAACATAACTTTACAAAGTTCAATACTCATAAATGTTTTAGCTATTGAGGGTTTGTTATGAAAACATTTTAGCAGTGAATGTGTGTAGTGGTTGTGCTTGTGGCTAAATGTGTAACAGGATGCCCCCAGACAAGACAAGGCATTAGAGAATATGTGTGATAGTGATCTGATTCAGATGAACTGCAGGTGGGAAGGTCGGGTTATCGCATGATCCCTTGCGGCAGCCAGTGTGAAAGGCTGCTCCACCATGTGCATGCACACAAACACGCTCAGACAGTAGTGAACACTGCAGCCCTGTTATGGCCGGGTGCTGACATGCTTTACGTTCAAGCATATTTGCTGAGCTCTCCTGCCACACTGCAGTGTCAGTAACCAGATGAAGACAGGTTTGACCCTAACGTCCTTTCTCCATCCTCCCACATATGGGTTTCACATACATTCTGTCATCTACCCCTGGATCAGCCCCCCCACCCCCACCCCAGGGTCAGCTGCAGGTCAGACACAGAAGGTTTGACCAGTCTGAGTTATTCCACTCAAGCAGTCAATATCAAAACTGTTGGTTAACCTACCTAACTTTGTTTTCTCCTCGTAGGACTATATAAAGGTTTCACACTCATTCACAACCTCACAAACAAGCGTGAGGCTTTGTGTCTGCACACATCGGCTCCCAAACCCCTCCACCCTCCCAGTTTGACAGATATATGACCCTGGTTTTCCCCCTCTTGAGTTATTTTTCAGTAAGGCTGCCTGCTCTTTGGGGCTGTCACTATCTGAATAGACAGATGAATGTTGGGGTGGAGAGAGGCAGACGGGAATGGACAGATGATAGAGCCATCAGCTTTGATGGTTAGGGAATGGATCTTTGACATCTGACATCATATAGACATCTCTCACACCCCGCATTAAAATGTCCCGATCTGGCTGCAGATTTGGTCGACGCAATTCAACGTGAAGAAGAAACATCCCATTTGAGATGTATCACTCTGTTTTTTTTACTCTTTTTCGTATGAAGGTGGTCTTGGCTTCAAGTTCAAAGTCTCATTGAGGGAATTAATCATTCATCAGGAGAAGAAGGGAAGCAAAACACAGCTAGGGTTTCACAACCGCTTAATTGTAGCAGCAATTAATTCTTCAAAGTCTGTAACCAAAGGACTTACCTAAGGAACAATCCCAGAGGACTGATGTTAACTTGTAAATACGTAATACTTCTAGCTGTCACATATATTTGTTTTGTTTTTCATAAATACAACAATTCCTTAACTATTTGAGTATTAGAGACCCTTGTAAAAGTATCGATACAATACACCATTAGTGATTGTACTTTTTACGCTTAAAAATCTTAGTGACGTGCATTCGTATTCAGACATCCAAGTTTATAGATACACTTATGCTAATCTTTTTTTTCTTTTTTGAATGTTATTCTTTTCCTCCAACTTTCTGTATTCATTTTGCGTGCTACTAAGAGCTGTTGTCATCACAATACGATTAATAATTTTCATTCACTCATTTACAGGAAACCATATACTTATTGAGTCACTTTTTCAAGGAATCCGAAGGTATTTTTGGGTGTTTTTTATTCCACTTTTGGAGAACTAGAGACTAAAAGTACTGCACATTATTAAATGGCTCAAGGTTAGAGTGGACGGAAAGCATCCCATCCACCATAAAATTAAAAGTTTTATCGGAGATTTTCCTGTGGACCTGTATTTGCAGTTTGACCTGCATGGGTTCTGACAAAATGCAAGCAAGACATCTTCTGTTATATATATTTTTTTTCACCAATGACTTTTAGTTTGCTTATTTTATGTTACATGCCAGATATGTGAAGTGCATTGGTAGTTGTTGCCCGTTAGGAAGAGGCTCTTGCCATAAGCTGTTTTGCTACTTCTCTGGTTGTTTAACTTTTGGCAAAGTTTGAGGTATTTTGCATTTCCTGACTGGTTTTCCTTTAACTTTGCCCTGTATTAAGCTGGTCTATCTTCTCAGAAACTCTGACCAGCATCGCTGCCTTTCAGCCTCACTGCCATCAGTGAGAAAAAAAATCCCTTCAGATTATTCAGCCAGTATAGTAAACTGTCATTTTTCTTCCCCTCCAAAGTGATTTTCCATATGGTGTTGGCCTAACATGACATAATCTACGTTAATATTTTTCTGTGGTAACATTTTTAAAGTAAAATAGTTCAATGGGTGTTGATACATTTTGTAAGACAGCATAAATATCCTAAAAGCCTTTATTCAGAATCTCCTTCTAACAGCACCTCAGAGTCAAAACTGATGAGCTATGTTGTCAAATATTTTTTGACTCTTGTCTGTCATTCTTGAAAAACTCTGCTTGAAAGTTTTCTTGTTGTGACACAGATATAAATAGTTTTGCCTGACCTGTTTGTCTCCTTTTTTATATGTTTTTTCTGCTTAGATTCGCGTTGATGGGCCTCCTAATGGTGGCGTCCAGTATGAGACGATCTCGGTCATAAAGGACGGCAGTCCTATCCTCAGAGACATGGCCTTCTCGCTTGACAACAACTTCCTCTACGTCATGTCGGAGAGACAGGTAGGTGTTGGTTTTTTCGGATGCCTTTTTAAACCCTGTGCTCCCTAATTATAGGAGCAGCCCCAACTGGCAGACTGGCAGCTTTAATGCATTTTGTGTGTGCGTATTCAGATGCTTAAATGTCAGGGAAATGTTGTGTGACTTCAGTACGGCCCAGGATGGCTCACCTCTACCCATCACCAAATCCACCAGCTCCTGTTAGCTAAAAATAATCTGTGTGGCACAGCAGGGGGACATTCTGACAGCCTTTGATAATGAAGGAGAAGAATGAGGGCAGGGACAAAGAAAGAAATCCAGAGACAAGAAAAGGGTTAGGTAAGAATGAGAATAAGCGAGATAAAGGGCCTCTTCCTTTGGCTGGCTGTGACGTGGGGGAGTAATGAGAAAAAGAAGGACAGCTGGGGGAGTGCATGACTTAGAGTAAAGGGAGGAACTAAGAGTGCAAGGTCATTCTTTCTTGCTCCAGATGAGGTGACACAGCACCGAAGGGTGAAAAAGGAAGCAACTGATATCTATCAGTGCAGAGGACGCTGGCCAGGGAGAAAGTAGGAGTGGAGACAGGTGGGAGGGGGACACAAGGACGTGGCTGGGGTGTGGAAAAGGAGATAGTTTGAGAGAAAAGACATGACAAGTGGAGCTGAAGTGAGACAACGGTAAAGGGACTTAGTGGCGCAGCAGACTCGGAGAAAGACGACGTGTGAGGCTGTCAGTGTAACTGATGAATTACCGTTCTCTCTTCTTATCTGTTCTTTGAACACCGTGGCTGGTCACAGCACATAGGTTTGGACCCATACAGGGTATTGTTTTGACCAATTTATTTTTTTCTTTGTTCTTTTTCTTTTTTTGGCTACAAAACATGAGGCACAAGATAAAAAAAATCCTCTTATTTAGTGATTTAAATCAAAATCATATAGATTGATTGACCAGTGTGTTCTAGTTGTTTATGTTGATGATTATAGTTCACGACTAAAGAAAGCCCAAGTTTCTTTGAAAAACAAGAACGTTCCATAAGATATTTTAAAATCTGAATGTACTGTCATAAACACACCTTAATTTACCTATTTTTCATTAAGTATTTCAGAAATGGAGTGTGGAAAATATGAGCCTGTAACATTGCTGAAGTATTAATGAAAACCAACTTGTCTCAACACCAGGCTTCATCTCATGGTATTTTTTATTGTCTCTCATCTTCTTTCTAAATGTACTCAACAAATTCTTTGTCAACTATTTTCCTGGCCAATCCAGCACAGTGATACCATGATCATTAGATCAGATATCTAAGGCATTGTGTGCGGGTGCCAAGTCGTGCTTAAAGGGCAAAGAAAAGAACATTGGTATCTTTTCAAGCTTGTAAGCAAAGGGAAGCATGACATGCTCTACTGGCTGGCTGCTGCTCTGGCCCTGATAAAACACAGCAGACCAATTCCAGCAGATGACATGAGACTCCAATCTCCCTCCAGACTCTGGGACTTTTTTTTTTTCTTTGTCACTAACTGTTTAACACAAGGAGTGTGACAGTTGTTACCCATGTCCTAGAAATGTTTGACTGTAGGATGCCTTGAGGCAGGGACTCCAGTTGCAGTCCAAATTTGGTAATGATTCCTGAAATTCTTGAATGGGAAGCAATCATATTTTTCCTTCCGCTCAACTGTGCATTAATACAACTAGAAGAAGCTCTCTGTGAGCTGTTAGCTTAGTTGAATTGAACTACTCAGTCAACACACCTTCTAAAAGGCATTACTTACGGCCTGTTGGATATGTAAACTGTCCATTCTGCCATGTTTCTAGACATCCCATGGCCCTTACATGACATAGTATATTAAATAGTCATAATGATACATTGAGATAACAAAAATGTTAAAAAGTTTGTTTAAACCTGGAATTTCCCTAAGAAGCTAAATTTGGGGTTTCTATTGCCATAAAAGCCAAAAGCCATAACATTTCCTATAGACCACCAAAAATGCATGTAATATGTAACTGTGTTCAATCAATCTCTATACTTTTTACTTTCTATATTTGATTTTAAGATATATTACAAGTTACATTGTACATATTATGATGCCAAGTTATTCAGCATTCTTTGATTAATAAATTGCATATTTTTATGTATAAGAATAAGTCACTTAAACATGTAATATGATGAGACCCAAAAGGAATGTTACCTCTAAAGCAGAAATCTCTTCAATAACTCTTGGAAAAATTCATATTTCAAGTCACCTATATATTTTTTTGTTACCAGAATTTATTTAATTGGACAACTTGATTTTAATTGCATCTTTTTTTTAGATCACTAAGACTCAGTTTGAATATATCAATACCACGCACAGTCAGAATGTGGAAAGCATGACATTGGACAGATTGCACAAGTGAAGAAGAGTTTGTACAGAGTCTGAAATGACTTTTCCCATGTTTACTAAATCCTTTATTCCCACTTATTTCACAGATGAAACAGCCTTTTGATGTTGAGCTCATAACTGCTAGTCTTCTGAATGAGAAGTTATGTCTGTGGATGTTATTAGTATTCAGCTTGTAGACTCTTCTGTCTCTCTCTGCAGGGGTTAGGGAGGATCGAAGCAGACACACGCACACACATTCGCACACACATGTTTAGCAGCTTTGGAGACGTTGCCTTGAATGTTTAACGATACAGTTCGATAGTCACACCTGACAGATTGGCTGAAATGGGATTCACTTCTGCTTTTTCTGTTTTATTGCAGGATTCTTTAACTCCACACCAACAGTTTTTTCAGATTTGATCCTGCTCTCTGTTTGCTTGATCTGGACAACTGAAATCCAAAGACATGCATTAAAGATCTGTGATTTTTATCTCCTTTACATTACACAGCAGTTACCTTAAACAAGCCCTGCTGCACTCAGTGGGCAACATCTATTTGACCTTTATCTCAACATGGGTTTAAATGTCACCCAGAGTCACACACCCAAAGTTATCAGGAGATATATATCTTGTCTAAGCTCTGCTCGTTCCCATGTGTCTGACTGATGCGGGCTCAGGCCGAGCACATGGCGTTGGGAGACGGCAGAGAACAAAGGAGGGATGATATCAAACAGGAACCAAGGCAGATTTGGCTTCAGTCGCGTTTCCGACTCGGAATAACAAAGAAGCTCTCTGTGTTTGGCACAGTGGGAAAGAGAGAGAAAACAGAGTGAGGAGAGGAGAAGCAGACATGAGGCTGGAAGAGATGAAAACATAGATGGAGGGAGGGTGTGTGATATTGGCAAAGCAAGGCCAAACTCGTGGATGCGGGTTCCCGCTCCCTGCAGCCCTCACACCTGCCTGCATCTAAACATTAGAATTTAAACATACAAAACAAAAAAACAAAACAAAAAAAACACAAAGTACAAATGCAAAGCTTTCTTTGTGTTTATTTGCATTGGTGCTAAAGCAGAGAGTGTGCAGGCTTAATCAAGATACATGCAAGCAAGTTTTTTTCATTCAGTATTCAAATTATATTCCTTTTTGGGAAATTCCTCAAACATTTGTTTGCATTATTTATAAACATTCGGCATCCAGATTATACTCTACAGGTTTCCTTCTTTTCCCTGGTTCTCATTTGTCACTTCCTTATGTTCGAATAATGGATGCTATCATTCATTTCCTTTTAGCTTCCTCTTTTCATATTCGCCCCATTCCGCTGCCATGTCAAACTGTGCTTTGTTTAGTAGATGTAATGACAATAGCAGCGGCAATATTAATGACGGCCCGGGACCAGCTCAATGCGAAGGCAGCGTAGTGGAACTGATTAAAAGACCTGGCTGACTTGCTTTCATTTATCCATCAGCCACATCACTGTTTGTGTATATGGGGCGTGTCCTACTGTAAGGTGTTGGATCATCACCCTCAGTTTTGACACGCCCAGGTAAAGAAGAAATTTATGTTCACAGTTATGTGTATATTCAATCTGGTACTTCAAACATATGTAAACTGTATCTGAAACTTTTCTGATATTCAACCATAAAAAATGTGGGATTTTATATGACTGGGCAACATAAAGTAGTGCTCTAAACAAAGCAGTTTGTGTTACATCTGCTGTGCCTACATAGCGTGTGGAAGGAAATGCTTTTGGATTTTATTTTTTAGCCATTCAACAATCTTACAACTAGGCTAAATGGTTGTGCAGTCCAAAACTAGATGTCCTGTCAATAGATTCTACCATACAGGATGTAAATCCATGCAAACATTGGCCTGTTGGCCTCTTCTTCACAGAACAGCTGCATATATACCTAGACTTATTGTCGTTTTTGTATGCACACAGTTTATAAAACAAAATTTTGTTGCATACAACTTAACGCAGTCTAATTATATTACAGTTGGACTAAGATAAACATTACCAATATAAAGTGCAGCTTTGATCAGAATGTACCAATGTGGAAAAAAGAAAACAGTTTAAATAATGATTATTAAATAATGATATGAAATAGTTCAGTCGAATGCAAAATGTGTGTTCTATTTGAAAGGATTATAAAAGTTCAGCAACATTTGTAGCGCAAAATAATGTTACAAGTGTGATGCAGAGTCCAGTTTAGAGTTCAACAGTTCAACATTCTGATGGCAGTGGTAGAAAAGCTATTGCAGAACCTACTGGTCCTGCAGCGGATGCTGCAAAGCTTCTTCCCAGAGGGCAGCAGGGAGAACAGTCCATGGTGGGGATGTGAGGAGTTCCTGATGATTGGGTCACGGACTCAGGACACGCAGCGCTGGGATGAAATGTCCATAATGGAGGGAATAGGAGCCCCGATGATCCTCTCTGCTGTCCTCACCACTCTCTTCAAGTTCTTCCAGTCAGAAAATGAATTATAGACAAGATGTAACTAGTTAGTTTTTAGTTCAGTTTGCAGTAGTTATGGCTAACAGGGTTTTTAACCATAAAATCATATCATTTTACATTTTTAAGATTTCTATGCTGCTAAAGGGAAAAAATATTTGAAAGTTCAAGCAATTAATACACACATTTTATTGCTTGTTTAAAGGACTCACATTC